GGAAAGGCAAACTCACTATTGGATGGCTCGATGATGTCGTGTTCGAGCATGTACGCGATGGTAGCCAGGAGTTCTCCTTCAAGATGAAGGGGGATGCGATATGGCCTGCAGTTAATGGGCAAGGTCCCTGGCTTGAGCGTAATGTGAGTGTCAATCTGATGGATTGGTTTGAGGTGATTGAGGTGCAATTCAGAGGGAGCGGGAGCCAAGAAGAGGGATGGGCTGGATTATTCCAAGTGGGACAGGTCAGCGCACGGAACACCCTCCCCGCTCCAAGGGGTTAAAAATCATGTTGGACAGGTTCACGGAAGAAGTGAGCGATAGCGAAGACGAGGACATGGAGGAGGTGGAGCAGGAAGTGGAACAGGAGAGAGGGAGCAATATCTCGATGCCAGTGAGACACCTGGCTGGCAACTGTTGACTCTAATTGAACTCTGCTGAAGGTGGAGCAGCAGCAGCAGCAGCAGCAGCAGCAGCAGCAGCAGCAGCAGCCAGTGGGCAAGGAACCTTTGACAGAGCAGAGATCGAGCGGCACGAGTGCGAGCCGGGAGGAGGAAATCGCTTCCTCTCTCGCGAGGATGTCGAGGAACGGCGGGACATGTGATCAGTACATCTGGTCTCAGGACCGCCATGAGGTCCGGGAGAGAGGAGAGCTGGGTTGTGGAGGAGACCAGGGGAGAAGAGAAGTGAGGGAGAAGCGTAGAGCAGGGGAGTGGAGGGGAGCTAGGGAGGAGCTCTGAACGCTCTTGTAGGTGGTCATCAACTTTTTCCTCCCAGCCGGGACAAGAGCCAAGGACATGTCAGTCAGGCTGACGTCTGAGAAGCATCTGCTCGCAAAGAATCAGGTGCTCGCTGCTCGCGCGTGTCAGTGGAAGTGACCGCGGATCGCAGGAGGTTGTCATCATTGACAGGGACCTGTCGTATCCAGGTGACACTGCGGCGTTTTCCTCCCTCTCATCCTCTCCCTCACCCTGCCCTCCCCTCTCGTCGCTCTCTACCTTCCCTCGTGCCTCGTTAACTCATGAACACTCTTCCTTCAGCATCCCCTCTTCGTTCTTCTCTCCTCTCTCTTCTCCTCTCCCCTCACCCTTGCCTCCTGCCTCCTGCCTCCTGCCTCCTGCTTCCTCGATCAGTGTCCCCTTTGCCACCGCCCATCTAACCCCACATCAGTGGTCAACAACGAAGACTCATTGGACTGGGAGTTGAAAGACTTTCATGACGGACGGCGACTTCTGCGAATCAGGTCCAACGGAGGTCATGCTGCCAACGCTGACGTGGTCCAGCTTGAGGAAAACTCTGCCGGGAATGACGTCGCTCCCTGCTCTCCCTGTGGAAGAGAGTGGTAGGTTGCCTTCCTACATGCCCTTTGCCCCTTTCTCTTTCCTTCTTACCCCTTTTCTCTTCCTCTTTCCTCCTCGCTCTTCGCTCCGTATTCTCATTCCTTTCCTTCTCCAGTCATCCTCTGGTGGAAGTGTGTGTTCGTCGGAGATGCCGAGATCGACGTCGCGAGCATCCCCGATAGGAAGGTAACGGGAGCTGACAAGTCTGAGAGCTGTCCTCAGTGAAGATCTGCGCAGAAGAAGAATCTCTCGACGAATCAGAGCGTGTGGAAGGAGGCGCACGAGAAATTCCAGGTGAGAGGCTGAGAGAAGAGAGTGAAGTCGTCGAGATGTGTAGCACATTGTTGAGGTGGAGATGTAGAGAGGATGGAATCTTGCTCTACAACTTGATCAACAACACGCTGTCAACATGTCCAACAACAACAGCATGTTGTTGATCATACTCATACCCCTCATGAAGGTTTCCGTGTTGACGAGCCTTGCTCACCCAGGAGATGATCAGGAACTCAGAGCCGCGAGAGATTTGATCTTCCAACTCGAAGATGTTGAGTAAGAATCAATGAAATCCAAGTCACCTCCAAGGTCATGGATGTCTCAATCGCTACATGGACAGAACAGGATCTGCCGTCACTGCTGCGAGAGGGGATGGTTGTGGAAGATTTGAAAGGTTTCCAGAGTCTACATAACATCTAGGGTAACATGATTGGGACTACGAACTTCATTGCGGCGGGGGCTCTGCCCTGACGCACGGCAGCTGCTCGCGGCAGGCGGTCAGAAGGATGCGGGAGGAAGGATAGATGCAGAGCAAGAGAGAGAGAGGACGGGAGGGAGAGGGAGGAGCGAGTTGGAGAGGGAGAAGGGAGGAAGCGGGAAGTAGGGAATGCCAAGCACAACTTACGTGATTTAAACATGCGACGTACACGAAGGCGTCAAGGGAGATGCTGTCACCCTCACCTGCACCCCAGCAAGGTTGTCAACCAGCCACGTCACGTGCCCCATGTTCCCACCTGTCAAGTCCAGTGCTTGGTTGTACAGCTCGAGAACTTCGTGGTCATCCAGCTTGGGCTGAACTGAAAGGGCGTCAACGTGAAATATCACAGCAGAGGGGGGTAGGGAGGCAGGGCGGCAAGAAGTCAGGTAGGGAGGCAGGCAGGGCAGGCAGGGACCTGATCGTACGAGGTTGGTGAACTCATTGAAGTCGAGGACATGGTCCTGCGGAGACAGTCAAAACATTCTCCTCCCTCTTGCTTCTTCTCCCTCCCTCCCTGCTTGTCTCTGCCTCCATGCCCATCTCATGCGCTTCTCCCCTGGCTTAAACTTGCTGCCCCCTGCTGCTGCTCCTGCTCCTGCTGCTGCTGCTGCTCCTGCTCCTGCTCCTGCTCCTGCTCCTGCTGCTGCCTCGCCTTCACACATCATCTTGCTAGTCGGCCATCTTCAAACTCTTGCCTCTGATAGTGATCCCTTGCTCCTCCTCCTCCTCCTCCTCCTCCTCCTCACCTGGTTGGCGTCAAACTCATTGTAAAGCGTCTCAAAGAATTTCTCGGCATTCAGTTTGCTGTCCTTGTATACCTGGGAGGAGAAGAGTCTGGAAGCGATGTTTTCGGTGAAGACGATGATGGTGTAGACGATGATGATGAAGACGATGACGACGACTAGGAAGATGGGGGAAGAGAGGGCGATAGGAAAGAGGAGGGAGGGCGGAGGAGGGACGAGGGGATGAAGGGACGAGCGAGGGACGCGGGACGAGCGAGGGAGGGACGAGGGGATGAAGGGACGAGGGCGAGGGGATGGAGGAGGGAGAAGGAGGGACGAGGGACGAGGGACGAGCGAGGGACAAACGACGAGGGACGAGCGAGGGAGGGACGAGGGGATGAAGGGACGAGGGCGAGGGGATGGAGGAGGGCGGAGGAGGGACGAGGGAGGGCGGAGGAGGGACGAGGGAGGGAGGGAGGAGGAGGAGGAAGGAGAAGAGGGAGGGAGTGAGGAGGAGGAAGGGAAATAAGAGGGAGGGGGGAGGAGGAGGGACGAGGGACGAGGGACGAGGGAGGGACGAGGGACGAGGGTCGAGGGGGTGAAGGAACGAGGGACCAGGAAGGAGGGAAGAGGTAAATACCTTGATTAACCATTCCATCCATGTGTCAATTCCGATCGTCATTGTTTCTGGAGTGCCACCCTGCACATGTAAGAAATGGCAGTTAGTGAGAGGGGAACAAGTTGAAGAGGAAAGGAATGCGACATCTGATCATTCTGGCACCAGCAGGGAGAGAAGAACGAGCGAAGGGGAAGGTATCTGGCGGGGACAGGGACAGATGAGACAAGGCGGGGATGTGGAGGTGGAAGACGAGGAGGAAGCAAGTGGGAGAACCTCTGCAAGTTCCATGAGCTGTTGCTTGACAACGTCGCTGATAATTCTCTTTAGCTGGGTAGGAAGCTGTAGAGAAGGAGGAGGAGGGCAAAAACGAGAAAAAAGAGGAGGCGGTGGTGGTGGTGGCGATAGTAATCGTGAACCTCAAGTCATCCGTTCCATTCCGAGTTACAATATCTGCCGGCCAGTGAGCACTTTCATTCCTCCTC